TGCTAGGAGGCCTGCCAAATAAATACCTACTATGTACCAAATGCCAGTGCAGAATGTTAATGGATGGCTTTTTAAGCCAGGTGCTTTTGAAACAACTTCAGTTCCATTACCGTGTTAAACTCTTGGCTCATAGATTTACAAAAGAAGATATTTTCAGCCAGAATCTCTGTGCGACAAAACAATAACGGTGAGAGCATTCCTCAGAAATCATATTCAAGAATTCAATAAATCTGTACGGTGCCACCCTTGTTGGCTGAACTGGTATGACGATGGCATGGAATATGTATAAACATTCCAATTTCTCAGTAGAGAAAAGTGCGGCATTTGAGAGAAGAAGGAAAAGACATTAGTTAGGCCCAGCTTAAAGTCTCACAAATGTGTAAATAGCTTTAAAGGGCAGGCTAAGGGCTCTTAGGCAATGTCTCAGGAGATATCAAGAATCAGTATCAAATTTGCTTGCTTTACTCTTTCTTCCTTGTTTCTTTTTCCTTTTGTATCACATCTATTAGATTGTAAGTCTGTGAGCAGGAACTGTCTTATCCTCTAATCTTTGTACAGTGCTTAGAACATTGTATGTGCTTCGAAAGTAACAGAAGAATATGAGAGTGAGGTGCTTGAACTAATATACAGGTATCTGAGATAAGGAATGGTGAATGGAGCTTGAAAAAAAATATGCAGAGGACACAACAGATTAAGGCAACAGAGGAAAGGAAGAGCCACATCCTTTAATAAAGCATTGGGTATGAAGGAAGCTGGAAGCATTGGAGTCTGTGAGCCAGAAAGCCCAGCTTCTCTACCTTTTAAGAATTCCTCAGAAGGGGAAACTTTTCAGTTGTTTGTAGCTTTTGGATCTTTCAGTCACAAGGTGATAATGAGGTAAGCTGAGTGTGGAGGTAGATTAATTTCACATAATGGCTCACTTCAGACATAACATGAAAACAAGCTGCAGTGATCCTTGGGTCTCTGAGAGCCCATTTCCCCGCTCCTCCCATATAGAGGAGGGATCAGCAGCTTTTGCTTCCAGTTTAGTTTCTCATTAAGTCACAACTTGGGAAACCAGCAATTTAAAACTATGGCTTGAGAACAAACCAGAATAATAAACTATGGTTTGATTCTAGATTGTATGAGGAAGCAATAATTTAAACCAGAGATGGAGGGTCTCTAGTCCTCTAGATGTTGTAGACTACAATTCCCATCATTCGTGACCGTTAGCCATGCTAGCTGAAAAAGGTCCACAGGTCAGTGGTAGATAGAGATGGGAAGGCCTGGGGGGGAAAGCGGGAAAATTTGAAAGCACCCCCCCCCCAATTTTTCTTGTTTTTCCCCAGGCCTTCCCATCTCTAGTGGTAGAACATCTGCTTTGCATGCAGAATGTCTGACATTCAATCTGAGGAATCTCTAGGAAGAGCTGAGAGAGAACTCTGAATGAAACACTGCTTGGAGAGCCACTGCCAGTCAGTCAGTGTATGCAAAACCCAGCTAGATAGCTCAGTGTTAGTTCTCCCAGTATCACATTCTCTCTTTATGCTCCAAGAGTGGATAGGACTTCATCAATCTTCACTCTGGTCCACCTCCAGAGTTCCCACCTCTGCTGAGAGTCCAGCAACAAAGCTGATAGGCTGCCAGTTCTCCCACAGTCTCTGCTTGCCCTCCTTGCAATGCCAAAGCATGCAAAGTGCGTAGTGCCAGGCAGAAGATAAAGGAGGCTTCCTGCTCCACTTCCAACATCACACCAGGACCACAAAAATTGCTCCCAGGAATGGGGATTCTTTGTCTGCCAGTTTCAAGTTAGGGTAAGACTTTGAAACCCAAATTGATCTTTTCGGGGTGGGGGTGGGGAAGGGGAGATCCATAAACAAGACATAAAAATCATGACCAGTCCATTTTGTCAATGATCTTTACAGACAATTTACAACAAGGGTATGTATGGAGCAAAAGTATTAACTACTAGATTAATTTCCCACTAAATGTATTGCAATTAATGCAGTCAGCTACATAGCTAGGATATGCACTTTTCCAGTTTCGATATACCTGTAAATCAGTCAAACATTATTATTCCTAAAAAGGATTTAGAATAAATTAAACACTTAGGAAAATCACTTGTTTGAATAATTATGGCAAGTTTTGTACTGAGGGTATCTGCCCACAATAACTCTACATTGTTGATTTTTTGTTTGTTGGTGTGTTTGTTTACGATCTGCAATAGCAGTAGCAATAGTGAAACCTAGAGAATGAATTCAAAGACGAGAAGAAGAAACCATTTCTCTTGCTCTCTCACTCCCTCCCCCCATGAATTAAACTGCTGGAGGGGAAACAGATTGATCTTGCCAGAGGCCTGAACTGATTGAGAGTCTTCTCTTCTTTTATTTCTTTTACTCCAACCTTTTCAGTAACCCCCCCATTTCCCCCTTCCACTGCCACTACTCTCCCTCCAGAGATAGTTTCCTGTGTTCTAATGTATTTTTTCTGTCTGTAAAATTCTTGACTTCAGTAATTGCTGCGTTTGACTTAATCACATTTACAAGGAGGAACTGTGTGGGATCATCATTCTCATATAACCAACATGCTTAATGCATGAAGGGGTTAATGCTACAGAGTAAGATGCCCTTCCAGGCTTAGCTAGCTCACTCTCCCTCACTTTGGGAGAAAGGTAATCAAATCTATTGTTGTACCCAGTGCTTTTTTTCTTAAAAAAAATGTTTAGGGGTACTCTCATTTTGACTCAAGACAATCACCATTTTATAAGTTCAAATCAGAGAAAAAAAATACAGTAAATGGACAAAAGTACAAAGATTCACAAAATGTTTAGGTGTACACGTACCCCTCCATCCCCCCAGAATAAACCGCTGGTTGTACCTCAGTCTACCTGAGAAGCTCAGCATGTAAAAAAGCCTGAGCTGGTTGCTCCAAACTCTGGCTGCATGAATCTTACAAACCATTCTTGTACTCCTATGCCAATAATTTAGAAACTTTCACCACTGTAACTAGGTCAAGTTTTACTGCTTGTGTTTTCTTGACTGATGTATGGAAAAGCACATGAACCTTACCTTCAGAGAGTTTGTAAGTACAGTGGTACCTCGGGTTAAGAACTTAATTCGTTCTGGAGGTCCGTTCTTAACCTGAAACGTTTCTTAACCTGAGATACCACTTTAGCTAATGGGACCTCCCCTTGCTGCCGCACGATTTCTGTTCTCACCCTGAAGCAAAGTTCTTATCCTGAGGTACTATTTCTGGGTTAGCGGAGTCTGTAACCTGAAGCGCCTGTAACCTGAAGCATCTGTAACCTGAGGTACCACTGTAAACTACTTACCAGATGTGTGGTCTTTTATGTGCTAAAGGAAGAAAGAAGTTCTGTAACTCACATGGGCATGTTTCAAAGGTCTAACAGCCTATATTTCCATGCTGTATGTTTTGTGATTTTAAATCTTGGCTGGGGTTCTCTCACCAAGGAGTACTTGCTTCAGAGCTGGATCTTGGCATCCAAGGAATTCTCCTTTTGTACCTATGGTTTTTTTCCTTGCCAATCAACAAACTGCAGGAGCAGCGGATGGGGAGAAGCAGCACCAAGCACCTGACCTCCCAGTGCTGGCATCATGGTGATTTTGTGGGAGGCAGAGGGATGTCAGTGCTGTTCAGGCACATCAGTGGGAGAACCTGATTGTCTCTGCTAGTGCAAACACACAGCACTGACCTAACTGCTTCATCCCTCTACTGTTCCTGCTCTCAGGAGTCCAGCATCACCTTGTAGACACAATTGCATCCAACAGAGCAGATAACAAATTCTGTTATCTCACTTAAAGAAAACTCACACAAGAACAAAGGAAGCTGCCAGACCATTGGCCTATCAAGGTCAGTATTGTCCCCAGTGACTGGCAGCAGTTCTCTAGGATACCTGGAGATGCAGCAGATTGAACCTAGGATTTTTTTGCATGCATTTTTAGATGCTCTACCAGTGAGCCACAGCCCTTCCCTGTCCTGTGAAATGGGAATGCAAATTTGGGAACAAGAAAGGAGCAACCTTTTTGCTGCTTTTCCTTTTGAATCAAGGAGCCAGGGTTACAAAGCACAGTGGACTTTTTGCATTAGAAATTCCCAGGCAGGTCCTCCATTTCATAGCAAGTTCTGTCCAGATCCTACAATTAGCAAGTGGTGGTTCTCCTTCACCACAAGGTCTCTTTGGTTTCCCAGCATGTCTTTTAAGTGGGTTGTAATCACATTTTCTGCAATATTATAACAATTTTGGATTTTTGTTGCTGCAGCTGCCCATTAAGGGTCACATAGAGAACTGGGAATGAACATTATTTCCTGTCATTTGCCATCTGTAGACAATAAAGAGAGAGAGAAAAAGTGATTCATGTTTCAACTGTTAAAGAAATTCCATCCTTGGCTTGTTTCACTTCATTTTTTTTTCTTTCATACAAAGAAACATTTCCTCCAATCAATATGTATTCTGCAAAAATCTGATGACAACTGTGGAACACAAGTGAAGAGGCTATGACCTGCATGTGAACTCTTGCAATATAAATGCTTAAAAGTTTGCTTTCCATGGAAACTTGCATCTGTCTCAAAAAACTAACTAATTTACCGTGTAAATAATTCATTCACGGCGTCTACAGGAGCTGGAAGCATGGAATTATCAGAGAGACATTAGTTGCATAATTGCTCTACTACGTCTCCCTTGTACTTCTTTCATTTCTCAGGGCACCATCTATTTTCCTTTTTCAGCCTCAACATCATTAGCCTGCAATCCTATACACCAGGGATAGGGAACCCTTTTCAATCTGAGGGCCATGTACCCTTCTGCTCAACCTTCCCATGGCCAAATGCTGCCAAAGGCAAAAGTGGGGTGGGCAACAAATGTAAATTTTAGTTTCAGTTTCTACATACAAATCCCTCCTCTGTACTCCATCCATGCAAGCAAGCAAGCGGCATTATCAGAATTCAAGGACACATTCCAGCCAGGCAAAGGCCACATCCACACCACACATTTAAAGCACTATGTTCTGGGACAGCTTAGTCATCAGAGCATGAGACTCCTAATCTCAGAGTTGTGGGTTCGAGCCCCACATTGAGCTTGGACTAGATAGTCCTCATGGTCCCTGTAGTGTAGGTGGGTTCAGGCATGACCCAAGACCGAGATTCAGCCCAAAAGGGATTTATTGGAATATCAGGAACCAGAAAAACAAGAATGACAAACAGGGGCACTTGGACCAGTATATATACCTTAAGCTGGCCCAGGCAAAACACATACAATGCCTTTGATAGGTCGCCTTAATGCTGCAATTAGCAAAACACAACACTGGCCCTATCTCAGCATGGACTGGCAGCCTGCCAGCTACTAATGATGTCATTGGAGGGTTTTAGAATCCTCTCTGTCTTTTGTTATGCTAATAATAATAATAAAAAAATATGTTGTTGTTGTTATACCTCGCCCATCTGGCTGGGTTTCCCCAGCCACTCGGGGCGGCTTCCAACAAAAAATTATAAATACATTAAAACATCAGTCATTAAAAACTTCCCTAAACAAGGCTGAAGCTCCTGAGCTCCAAGAGACCTGAAGGCCTAGGCCTGCATTGCATGCATACAGCCTGGCTTTCGCCTACAATGCCTGCATATATTAACAGTCTCTTCAAACTCTACAATGCTATGCCTATGATTCAACTTTAAACAGTCAGGGCTCCCCCAACCAAGGAATTCTAGAGTTGAAGGCGTTGTTGAAGAGTTGTTGAAGATGCTGAGAGTTATTAGGAGGCCCCTATTCCTCTCGGAGTGGTTTAACAGAGTGGTTTAACAGTCCCTAATCCATCTGGGAATTGTAGCTCTATGAGGGGAATACTGGTCTCCTAACAACTCTCAGCATTCTTAGCAAACTACAGCTCCCACAATTCTTCTATGACAGTTTAAATAGTAGCATAGTGTTTCAAATGTATGATATGAATATGGCCCAAAACACTCAGTTGCAAAGGAAGGCCAGTGAGGGGTGTGGCCTGGGGTAAATTTTGAGGGCTAGGCAGAGAGGTGTGAGGTTGCCTAGCCCTTTAAAAAGCTTCCAATCATTTATAGAATTATTTTATTCCCACCCACTCTTCCAGGAAATGAAAGGCATTGTACACAGAGTTCCCATGTGGTCTTCTAAGGAGTACGTTGACACCACCTTAGCTTTAGCAATGTTGCTGTATCACATGTCATGAATTCTGTTGTTCCACTCAGCAGCTTGGGACATTTGGGGATACATGCTCTGAAGTCTTCACATGGTGGGGGGAAAGAAAAAAAGAATTGTGATATCATAGCCAGGCAAAAATCCAACCAGAATGTCCTGATAATGAATGCTTGAAGAATTTCTCGGGGGTAGAGGAACTGCACAAACTACTCTTTGTAACACTGAAAATGAAGACAATAAAATTGTGCTGCAGACACAGTCACATGGAGTAAGGGTAGCCTACTTTTAAAATGATAAAATGAAAGACTCCACCACTGAGTTTGGTACTGAATAATCTACAATACCGAACTCCCACCACTGCTACTTGCAGCTTGACCTCCATGCCAGCTCTTCCTGTTAAAGCAGGTGCAACAGATGAGAAATAACGAGAGAGCAAATAGTTCACAGAAGAGTCGGCCACTTCAGCAGCAAAAAAGTGATGATCACTCAGGCTTCAGCAGCAAAAAAGTGATGATCACCAGACAGCTCTCAAAGGGGGTCACACTTCATAGAATTCAGTCGTTCTCTTACCCTCCTTTGAGCATAAGCGAGGTGAAGTGAGGGATCTTTCCAAAAGCATCAACCATGGCCTACCGGCATCACCCCTTTCACCTTGCTCCATTGTTCCTCACGGGATTGGACTGTATACATTAAGCTTTGAAGGAGGAAGAATACATTTGTGCTTCCTACCTGCAGAACTACTGTCAAGGTTGCTGATATAAGATTAGCTGCAATTTGACAGATAATTTGTCAGTGGCATCTCCTCAACACACAAAGAAGCATAATGGAAATGCAAATAAAAGGGGGGAAAGCCTGTTTCCATTATTAATGGACTGAGGCAATCCATGCTGTGTTCAGTGTGTGCTGAGACACAAGCAAGGTTTCTACCACTGTCACATGGGTAGGAAGTTATGCAAAGCAAGAAACAACTAGCCTTCAAAATTCGCACTTATCTGAATTTTGCAATGCGTTTCTCCATCCAGCCAATGTTTACAAACATGTATCTGTTAGCGTAAAGTGCAAAAAAACATGTAATGCATTACATTAGGGGAAACTGCTTGGGAAAAACTGCATATCAGACAAAATTGCAATTTTTTTTAATAAATAAAAATAAATAATAATAATAATAATAATAATAATAATAATAATAAAGAAATTTGCACTAAAATGTTGATGAATTTTCACAAGGATACACACACACACACACACACACACACACACACTGTATATATGTGTATATGTACCACAAATTACTGCAAAATGTGGAGAACTGAGTTTAAGACTGAAAAAGTGAGAAACTGAGGGAACCAAACTTGACAGGTCCTTCTATCTCTACATATGAGGTGGTCCGAGGGCTGCTTTTCTCCCTTGTTTTTAAATGTTCTCCCAGACTACCACCCCGATGAACTTATGAAGGCAGTGGAACTATCAAGATGGCCCCCTCTTAACACTGGAGAAGGCCATTAGGGATGGATGGCCTTTCTGATGCACAAAGTAACTGCTGTATTCAAGCGAATGTAAGAATTGGCCTACTGGATGAGACCAAAGTCCTAGACCAGCTTCCTGTCTCCCACAGATGCCGATGGGAAGACCCAAAGCAGGTCATGAGTGCAAGAACACTTCCCCCCTGTTGCTCCTCAGCAACTGTCAATTCAGAGGCATACTGGCTCGGCATGATTAAAACTACCCTTAATTAATCCAAATGCTTTTCTCTTTTATGATTACTTTCACAGAAAAGGAAGCCATCAAGCTCTTCATTATCTCCCCAGCACCATACACAAACACCTTCTCCACTCACTCTTCTTAAAGCACAGTGACTTTAAAAGGGCTGGAACAATTTTGTTCCTCATAGCAACAGAGATGCATGTTTTGTCCTTCTGTGCCGTGATTTGTTACTTGGAGAAAAGGAAGTGACATTCTGCTTTATAGAACTTTTATCAAATGTATTTTTATGGTGCAGCCTCTGTAGCCCGCAGGACTATACATACCAAATGTCCACAGTAAAACACTGCACACTGCAGTGTGTGTGTGGATCCACAATGGAGCATGATTAAATATGACAACACAGTACAAGGGTTGCTTCATATGCACATATAACCAATTCTGAGGACTTACTTGCAATGGCTGTTCAGGGGAGGACTTCAAGACTCAAAACTCCAGCTGTTTCCC